TCAAAGAGGCAATGATGATTTTTTCGACAAGTTGAAGCAAGAGAGAAGCAGTCAAATACAAATATATAAGTAGCCGGCGGCACGATTGAATCGAGATATCCGTGAATGTGGTGTTTATACGTGCAAATGAGATATTGTCACCGAACTGGTTACGAGATTGTTATGTATCGTATAATTTTTTTCCATTTGCTTTATGCCCTCTCTCATTTATGCCGAACAAAATCAAACAAAACAAAATATTATTCGCTCATTTTCTACGAATGATTTTTTTTCTTCAACTGGTTATCACACACTGTCCGATTTTATTTAATTATCATTAATTCATACTTGGCTGAAAATTTAAGAGTTCTGTTTTGGTTTGCTTCATAAAAATTATTAGCAGTCTTTCGTATTAATGATGCATAGAATATTCAACAAAGCCGCACAATTTTTGCGTCACTTGAATACTTAAACACTCTCGTAGTCTTTAAAACAAATATTTATTCATTTTTTCAGATATTTTAATAAGCACCTGAACAAAACAAAAGTCTCACATATTCTTTCGAATATCGCATAGGCTGTTCCCCCGTTGAATTTTAAGGAGTGGCATTTTTGTTTTCATTCCATATGATGACGTTTTTAAATTATTTGAATCGAATTTCATGCATGACAAAATCACTTAGGCCATACAAACTCTATGTCAAATTTGAGAGCTATCTCAGTTGCCAATCAAGTCCAGAATATTGTCAGTCGAGATAAAGCAATCAACGTTTTCCTGGAAATTTCAATGATTCATCATATATATTTTTTATTTTGCACTTTTCTTGCATATTAAACATCCGATTGAAACACATTGAACGTGAGTTCTGCGACATTTTTTAGGAATAAAGACTTATTCTTCTCAATTATCACATTCGAAATATTATTCATTGTGTAAATACGAAGAGAACAAACCGGTTTTCATCAATCGAAATAAAAAAACAACAACAACATTGTGTATATTCAAATTCCTTTTCTGAATATAAAAACACATATGTTTGTTTGGTACTTCAAAAATCAATCATAAAAATAAAGTCAAAAGATGAAGGCGATTTCGAAAGTGGATCGTCGCTTATTATGCAGTCAATACACAAATCTGGCTTTTCAAATGACATTTGAATGAGAAAAAAAAACCCAGGTGATAAATTCCAAGAAATCAGTACAGTCACTTTTAAATAGCACTAAATCATTTAACGAACAGAAAACGACAACGAAAAATAAGAGAGATATATACTAAAACAAAAATGAAACGAACCGATGTCGAAATTCAATTTGACTTGTGGTTATTGCATTTGAATTGTATGCAAAATGTTTGTAATAAGAGTCAGCACAGCAAATTGGAATAAATTAGTCGTCATAGCTCTCCATTCACTGTGTGTGGTTGTACGGCGAAAATCTGTATGGCGTACGCTTGAATAAAAACAACAAAAATTATTATATTACATTCCGTTTGTGCTCATTAACGACCAATCAAAATGTACAAATTAAGTAAAATTCACATCATTCCGTTAAATAATAATTTGCTGTTGAAAATGGAAGTGGGTTGCAGGTCAATAAAAGCTATTGTGTCGGCAATTCGCTTACCGACTTTGCAATTAATCCCCGCAGGTTAAAAAAAAAAACAAATCAACAAATTTATGACGATGCATTTAGTGGCATTGTAACATGTTCACACACAAAAATAAAACCACTTAAAATCGAATTGTTTTTAAACATCTTTAGCATTGATGACCCCGGCGGAATTCGAGAAGATAAACGAAAAGAATGCTTACTTTGCTACATTCACAATAACAGCTTCTAAGAATGAGCACGTTTCCGTTAAATACTCGAAAAAACACCTGTTCAAACTAGAAATGCATGCGATACGGTGTGTCTGGAAACACTTTTACTATGGAAAACGAGCCACTCATTGTACCTTATTCATATCTCTTTGTACAGCGTGACGTGTTCGTTCGAGTGGGGGGTTAGATTAAAGACATCTTAGCACAATTCTTTGTCAGAACTTACGGTATCGTTTGTATGGAGCAACAGCAAAGGCACATTATTTGAAAAGAGTGGTGGATGATGGTGGTGGTAACGCAACAAGCAATAACATGCAACACACACCACGTGCTCGCCTTGGATCCATTGATCATCTGATTGATATAATTGTGTGTGTTTTTTGAAGCGATTCCATTCATAAAATTTCATTCAAACCATCAATGAAATTGGAAACAACAACATTTCAAATCACCACACACAATCATTGTGCACATGCAATAAATTTCACTGTCTTTGCTATTTCTTAATCATCTTTTCGAATGGATTCACTTGTTTGCGGTTTCTCTCACAAACAGAATGTATTTATTGTACATGAATACCAACAAACAAATCATATCAAATCATTATAATATAATTTATCAATTTCATTTCATGCTAGTAATTGATTGAACAATAAATTTACTATGCGTTCTATTCTATTCAAAATGAAGTCGATAACGATAACTGGACATATAAAAACGCGATAGACAGAAGAAAAAAAGCTGCGAATGCAACGAATTGATAATCAAAGTTCATTGGCCGTCGTGTATACATCGATTTGCTGACTCAGAACTATTACCGAATACACTTTGTTTATTGAAACGAAACAATGAGTAAGAGAGAAAAAAAAACAACAACCAAAATAATGAAAACATTGCGTATCGAAAGCAGTTTTTGTATTTGTATGTGCTTCTCACTCTCATTCTCTCCCCTACTCTCTCTCTCTCTCTGTACTCCATCCAACTTTATCCTTCCACTTTTGAGCGTACGCATTGTAGAATATGGTGGTGTTCATGTTTGACATTCCCTACTCCAGTTCGGTTGAAACGAGAATAATACATAGAAGAAAGTGGTTTATTGTAAGGGATCGACGTTCAGCTAACATTGAACACAATTTGCCGTACGCATACGGTACATTCATGACAACAGCCCTACTCTGTAATAAATGACACAAAATATTTTACCCTCGCCTCTGTGTCTGACAAACAGTTGCCATAGTATTTTCCCTTCTGTTTCGCTAGCGCACTTTTTTTCCTTCTTTTCCGTTCTCTTTTACCAACGAAAATAACACCGGATTCCAACTGAATCTTCATTCAGCCGGCATTGTACGGTACTGACGCTATTTCAAAACTCGTATATCGTTCATTCGATACGGGTTTTTTTTTCTTTTTGGTTTTATTCTACTGTTGTTGGACGCAACTATACGAACGGTTATAATTATTTTCTATGCTCAATATATGGAGAGCCTTCATTTTGATAGTCATACAAGTTTCAAGCGGCATCTCTTCTTTCAAAGAATATCAAATGTGATGGCACATAGTATTTTTTGGCAAAAGTGATTAGTCACACAATTGGAGTGACAGAGTTGGCGAATTTTAAAAACTCATTAATTAAAGTTTTATGCAGGACAAAGTTTGAGTAGAACGAGCGGCGACGAGGGAAATTCAGACGCGCACATTTAGTTTGCATAAATACTTTAGTTTTTGTTCATATGTGCACATAACTTTTAGACACAGGAATTATGTGTTTGCATGAATAAAATATAAATCCGGTTGCTTATTGTCATCATTTGAAACACACAAAAGCGTTCATTACAACTTTTACGTTTTATCATTCGGCACTGACTGAGATGAAACTTTTTTCCACTCTGTGCTTTGCGATGAGTGGAGAAAAAAAAACGGAATAAACGACTGGATTTATTACTTTTTGCTGATCAACATAATGCACGGAAGCATTGAATGGACGTTTTCATGTGCATCGTTTGGCGCAAAGCCTGCAACGGAAAATGTCATCAAAATTTATTACCACATCTAAATCGTTGAAAAAAAAAACACAGCGGTCGTTCATTTACATGTAAAAACACAGAAGTGAATATTTATTTAAAGACGTTTCACTCGGATTGTAAAACATCATATTATTCACCGCAGAAACCTTTTTTTTCTATTTTACAAGTACAACGTTTATTTTTAAAAGAGATACAAAAATCAATACAAAACGTCAAGTAGTAACTAGTTCAAATTATCATAAAACAATCTGTAATTATCTTGTTTTTGTTTCGAAATGGCTTTTAATAAATCATGTATACATATGAATCAAGCGTATATAAAAAAAATTCGAACGTGAATTTTGATACGGCGAAAAAATTGCTCCAGTTTTTTTTTTGCTTGTGTTGTCGATAAATGAATCCCTACTGAAATACACACATTTACGCCATGAAATGGAGTAAGGGTATACGGCGGCGACATTGGTAGTCGTGGAGGTGGTGGAATGTCGACACAAAAAGGGGGTGAAAGCAAAAAAGAAACCACGTCTTTCAATCCATTCACAAACGAACGCAACGCAACCACGACGGCAAACTTTACCAAAGAAAATATCATGTTACGACTGAGAAATGTGTCTTTGCCGCTTTCTGGTTGCTTTAATCATGATATTAAGGAGAAGAAACGGCTGTTCGTAGGAAAAAGTAAAAGTGACTGTTCAGTCAATAAAATAGGAGCGAAAGTCGTGCGAATACATTTATGGAAAAGAATGGGAAGAAATAAAGTGAATCGCATCATCCCACCACACCAAAAATGAGAGAAAACGTCCCCCCACTCGATATTAGTAATGTATGTTTAACAGTAGTGTGGCTGGCTGTGCATGTATATACTTTGACACAGAGCATGCTGTATTTTGATCTAGAAAAACCGACACATGAAAACAATAACGAAAAACAGCACGATTTCTGGAATGAATTGGCCAATATTCTGCCGTAATATCCGATGCAATCGGTCGCTTAACGCTCAAACGAACTGATAAACAAGATTTAAACATCGCATTTGTTTCGTTGTTTGTAATCAACGTAAAAGATCGATACACATATCAACATTTTGTTGGGGCATTTTACAAGTAAACAAGCATTTTGAATCACACTTCAACTGTCTTGGTTAATAGATAAACAAATGTGAATTAAGGCCACTTACTTGTTTGAATTGTAGACGAACAAAGCTGTTTTGTTTGAATTTTTGATGAGTATTTTAAAGTCTTGTTCACGTCTATGCGTCAACCTTTTTCCATGGAATTATTTCTGCATTAAAACTACACCATACAGACACGCACACATCAATAATTTTTTACTCTTTCGTCACACGAAAAAATAGTTCAGCCGTGATTCCGATCAAACTAAACTGATACACGTTTCTCTTTTTTTTCTTTTAAATTATTATAAATCTCGCACCATAAATTTATTCAATGTCAACCTAGAAGCCATTTAAAACACTTTTCTCTTATATGAGAATGTATATAACGATATAGCACCGATATTTTCCATAAGATTCACGATATTTTAACAAAGTCTTTCATCAATTCATTGAACTGTACATAAATAAGCCATTAAAAAGAATTTTAAAATAAATCACTGCAATTTATTTCCCGCAAATTTATCAAAGAATGACAAATTTTGCATGCACAACATGATTTACAAACCCGAAAAAGACTGTGAAAACGAAAAAATGTCGAAAGTAAATTGTACTCGCACGCACACTAAACGAACATTACACATAGATCATAGCAGAATGCACACTTTTTATTAGTAAAAATATTAGAATTAGTTCTCTTATTTTTACTATGACTGCTTGTACACACTATCGACGACAATGCATTGTTGTATATACATTTGAAAGACGAGTTTTTTTTTAATATGCTTATTCATTCGCTCTCTTTCTTGTCTTGACGATTGCTTGTATGAATTGCGCTTTACTCACTCATTCAGACCAAGCGCAACACACACATACCGCACTAGTTTTGTTAGTTCACATTCAGGAGCGCATTCAATTGTTGTAGTGTAAATATGTTATGTTGCGTTCATATATGTATGCGTTCATGCTCCTAATTTCCAAATATATGCCAATTTTGTCAAATTTTAAGGTGCGTTCCGATTCTATTCGATACAATAAACTATAATATTTCAAATTCATTATGTTGTCGTTTAGATAAACATAATAAACATCAACCAAATATTCCTATTCGATTATTTGTTTTTATTTGGGCTCGCATCGGGGCCATAAAAGTATCATCATCGTCTAATTGCACCTAAGGAAGGTGTCATAAAACAAATCCGGAGTTGATTTTTTTTTCTCAGTGAATTGAATGTTGATTAGCATTTGTATTCTCAAAGCTTAGATTAAAAATTGTCTTTTTTATAACTTAAAAATGGTTCTTTATATTGAATTTATATCATGGACGAAAAACTAAAATGAGTAACTGTGAATGTAATTTAAATCTCATCAATAAATTGAAATAAAATGGCAAAAATTGAAAATAAAATAGAATAGAAAGATAAGAAATAACAAAAAAATTGTTTCATTCTTACAATAGCATCCAAAACAACTCATGTTTAATGAGTCAAAGCGTTATATTTCTTGTAATTCGAACAAATTGTAATGAGTTTTTTGAAAATTGAGTGCAAAAAATATATGAAAAAAGAGAATTTCCACGGTTACCCAGAGAGATACAAGGATTTCCCCTCAAGATTCACAACAGCCGTATGAAATGTAAACAAAATTTGGTAAATATTGTGCATTGAACGATTGTCAAATGTTGAGAAGGAAAAAGCAAACGGCGAGTGCGTTCACTGACAGAGATGTGATTGACCATTGACATTTCAAGTGTGTTTATTTCTTGCGTATTTATATAATAAATATAGATACTTTGTTTTCTTTATTCACAACTGAGAGAACAAAAAGGCACTCAATTGACACATTAAATTTGTGAAATATTTTTTTATTGCTTCATCACAAGAAGTTGATTTTATTTTGCATCGGAGCAGGACGTGTCAATAATTTTAAACAAATTAACCTCATTCGATTAAAAAGGTAGACCGATCGTGTTGTTTGAATTATATTGTGGGTCAGTTTTTGTTTTAATTGGATCGAAAAAAGAGCAAATCCACCTACAAAGTATTGTCATTTGACAATAGAAACAATGATGTCATAACAATATAAAAATGCATCATACATTTTGAGTTTTAATTGTGTTTCTGGCGGACAAGTGAAACGAAAAGATAAGCCTGAAAAAATCAAATGTTCAAATAGTGGCACATAAATTGTTGAGACATTTTCTATTTCCAAATTCATAATTTGTTGAACAGTCGTCGTGTAAACAAAGGAAAAACCAAAATTCATTTTGAAAATTTTGCGTGTGAGCGTCAAGGTTGAAAAATAAATCAAATAAAATGTCGGACCGCAGTAATGCTTCGTCGCCTTCTCCATCGACTCAACAGCCACTAGTCAAAATTGGCCACTATACACTGGGTAACACACTCGGAACGGGCACATTTGGAAAGGTGAAAATTGGCGAACATCAACTGACAAAACATAAAGTGGCTGTCAAGATTCTAAATCGTCAGAAAATTCGTTCGCTTGATGTGGTTGGTAAAATTCGACGGGAAATTCAAAATTTGAAACTCTTTCGTCATCCGCACATCATCAAATTGTATCAAGTCATTTCAACGCCCACGGACATTTTCATGATAATGGAATATGTGTCGGGCGGTGAATTATTTGATTACATTGTCAAAAATGGAAAGCTACAAGAACACGAAGCACGCAGATTTTTCCAGCAAATCATTTCGGGCGTTGATTATTGCCATCGGTAAACTGAATTCACTTTAATTTATCATTTGCATTAATTATACTTTTGAATGAATCAAACCATTTTTCGATGAATTTCTAATTGCAGACATAGCATCGTTCACAGAGATTTAAAGCCGGAAAATCTACTGCTCGATCACAATCGTCACGTGAAAATAGCCGATTTTGGCCTATCGAATATGATGTTGGATGGTGAATTTCTACGAACATCGTGCGGTTCACCAAACTATGCAGCCCCCGAAGTTATTTCGGGTAAATTATATGCGGGCCCAGAAGTGGACATTTGGTCATGTGGTGTCATTTTATATGCCTTATTGTGTGGTACGTTGCCATTTGACGATGAACATGTTCCGACGCTATTTCGCAAAATTAAATCCGGAATATTTGCCATACCGGAATATTTGAATAAAAATGTGATCAGTTTGCTTTGTCAAATGTTGCAAGTGGATCCATTGAAACGTGCAACAATCGAGGAAATTAAAAAGCACGATTGGTTCCAACGCGATTTGCCAAACTATTTGTTTCCATCGTCGATTGAAAATGACAGCAATATCGTGGATACGCTTGCCGTTGCCGAAGTATGCCAGAAATTCGGTGTTAAAGAAGTTGAAGTGCATAATGCTTTGTTGAGCGGAGATCGGCATGATCAATTGGCAATTGCATACCATTTAATTATCGATAATAAACGATTTGCTGACGAAGCAGCCAAATCAGAAATGGAAAACTTTTATGTTGTACCACCATCGAGTCCGCCACCCACTCACTACAGTCCGAATAACACGATTGATAAATCGTCTGGCGAAGGTACACCAGCCTCATTTAGACATCCGGAGAGAATAGCACCGTTACGCGAACGTGCTGCAAATAGTAATGTATATACAGGACCAAATCCACAAACCACAGCCGGTCTGATCGGAAGCGAAAAAGTACGTGGAACACCGGTTAAACGAGCCAAATGGCATTTGGGCATTCGATCACAGAGCAAACCCAACGATATAATGCTCGAAGTTTATCGAGCCATGAAGGCCTTGGATTATGAATGGAAAATTATAAACCCGTACCATGTGCGTGTTCGACGAGTAAACAATTCTCCAGGAAAGTATGACGTGAAAATGTCATTGCAATTGTATCAAGTTGACGCAAAGAGTTATTTGTTAGATTTTAAATCTCTGACCAACGAGGAAGTCGAACAAGGAGATGATGTTATAATGGAGAACGCGACACCGCCAAATTCAATGGGCATTCCAATAATGCCACAACAACCGACCGGACACCATACTATGGAATTTTTTGAGATGTGTGCCGCTTTAATCATTCAATTGGCCAGATGAATTCGATTCTCTCCGAAAAAAAATCAATCTCTATACTTTACAAAGAATTTCATTTAAAATGTCAACAAAATATAGCTTTCACGGCACGTAGACCATAGATATATAGAAATTAAGATGAAAAGAAATTGAATACGAGTATTGTATATGTTTAATTTGAATTTAGACTTTTTTGCACAGAAAAACACATTAATTTGCTTATAGTTTATATTGAATATTTTATCATTGAAATTGTTTTATTTTCTCTTGTTATTGTTTTAATTTTATTTATTAGTTAATATGCTTCAAATTACTTGCACTTTTTTGATTTTTAAATCAGTTCGTGGCGACGCTTAGAAAGAATTTTCGATCGAACAAAAGTTTTTAGTTTATGTAATTCATTGGATGAAAAGAAAAAAATCTTTTAAATTGTAAATCTATATGGAAAAATCTAAACAATTTTTTTTTGAATAAAGATATCAGCCTTTCAATTCAAAACCAAATGTATATTTCTGATGCTTGGCTCCATTTCGTGCTTCAAAAAAATGTTTTCTCCTCCCCCGAATCTATTTTGATGCGAGTGGAATTTTATTGGAATAAAAAAAATAATACCATGTACCCTATCCCTGTATGCTGTACCCTGTGTACGAAAAAAATTGTTAACACGATAACTTTGCCCCCAGAAACGTAATTCAAGGCTCTCATACAAATTTATCGTTTTAAGTGTAATTTTTGCATGAAAAGTGTGTCGAAAATGATTTGTATTCGCAAAACTAACGTCAGATTCAATTCGTGAATTCAAATTTACAGCAAAAGATTTGTAATAAATGCATGTCGTGGATCACAGTGCGGAAAAGTTCACCTTACCAATATAAGATATTCGATATTTTTTGACGCCATAAAGGCCTTTTTAAAAAACTTTATTTAAGCAACAATTAAAGAACAATTCAAGCAAATTATTGGATTATTGGATTATTGGATTAAACGGGGAGTTATTCACTTCGATGCTCAAGTTTTCGTAACTTATTGCATGACGACCCGACTTGTGCTGTCACTCGATTGCTTGGAGAATGCTTCCCACGGTGTGGCCCACTTTATAGCAGCCATGTAACTAGCCTCCGTACAGGGCCAGTGACCAGGGCTTTCTTCTCAAGTCAATTGTCGTGACAGTCACAAGTATTCCATTCATTCCTAGATGGCGTTGGGCTCTTCTTATTTCAATGGAGGAATGCA